GCTGGCAGGCGCTGACTGCCAAGCTTGGGAATTATGGCAGGGCGCCAAGCCCGGGGGTACCATTTTCAGTCAAAAACAAGGAGTGGGCCTGATTTCCTTCTGGGCCCAGCAGCTGGTTCTGAAGGGAGGGGTGGTGACGCCAGGCAGACCTACCACAGGCTGCCCAGTGTACATGTTTAATACTTGCAGAGAGGGAAACTGAGGCTCAGAAAGGGTGTGTGACTTGTTGTCTGTGAGAGGCAGGGTCAGGATTTGAACTCAGCTCTCCTCCTCCTGGAGCCTGTGCTCTTGCCAGCAAGCCCAGAGGTCTCCTTCGGGACACTGCCCAGAGGTACCCAGCAAGGGTTCAAGCAAAGACAGCCTCCTAGGAGAGCAGGCGGAGGCTCCCCAGGGGCTGCATTTGAAAGGCTGTGCTTGCTCACACATCCTCCTTTTTTGTTCTTTAAAAACAAGAACCTGCCTCTGCCTGGCCCCTCACCTGGTCAGGAGGCCTGGGAAGCAAGTGGATGCCGCAGCTCCGCAACCACACAATCCCGTCTGCAACTGGTTTCTGCAGCAGCCTCACCATAGTCTAGGAAAAATCCTAGCTGCTGCCTCCTGAGGACCCTTCCAAGGCACCCCCAGTCTTATAGGTTGGGACCCACCTATGCCCCATCTCTTTGGTCTCAGCTCCTCTGACCACCTGGTGAGTCCTTGCCCAACTGGTAGCTCAGCCAATCACCTCCTCCAGGAAGCCCCCCTCTACCTCTTACTTCCCCCCACAGACTGCCTCACTCCTCTGAGCTCCCAGCGAGCCCTGTTAGTTACTGGTACTGAAGGCTGTGTGCTGGCTCATTTAATCTTCCTCAAAACCTGCGGCTGCAGCTACTATAATCCCCGCTTTACAGATGAGGAGACTGAGGCATGGGATTTAGAGGAATGTGCCAGGTTGGCAGATGCTCTGTCTTTGGACTGCTGTCTTGTGTGCCCCTCCTTAGGGCCGTGTGGTTCTAAGCACACACCTGGGGCCCCGAGCAGTTACCCTTGTTTTGCAGGGGAGAAGGCAAGACTTGGAAGGTCACACAGCCTGTGGCTAGAGTCTGGATAGAACTCGGGTCTCCTGGGTGCCAGCCAGGAGGACCAGCTGGGCTCAGGAACGTGGAGAATCAGTGTCCCCACCAAGCCAAGGGGTATCCCCCAGCCTTTGCACTTGTGCACTAGAGGTAGCTGGGCTCTACAGAGGCTGCCCACCTCTCCAAGCCTCAGTCTTCTCATCTGCCAAATGGGAGTACCAATGTCCCCTCCAGGGCAGTGTTGGGAAGGGCTGTGGCCACACTCTATGGTATGGTGCTAGCCAGTGCTGGGGTGACCACAGAGCCCAGCTTGGGTGTTCAGGATGCCAGCTACATGCCCTTGGCACCACGGCAAACAAGGAGCAGGTCAGATGGGGTCTGATGGCCCTGGCAGCAGAACAGGCGGACGTAGCCCAGAGGCATCTCTGTGTCCCTCAGCCCCCATGACCAGCTGACAAATGGGGACTGTCAGTGGCCGCTGTCCTCTCCCTTCTGCCGCCCTAAGTGCCCCGCTTCTTCCTTTGAACCCACCCAGCACCATCTGTAGGACCGTGTGGGCTGAGCCTCCCTTGGCAGAGTCCCCCTAAGCAGCACTTCCAAGATGTGCCGGCGGCTGGCGGGCTTTTGAGACTCTGCTCTGAGAAAGCCGCTCCGGCTGTCATCCCACTCATGGCGCCTGCCCAAGCGGCCGCGGCAGTGTTTCTACATCAGTCACTCTCCAGCCAGACCCCAAGCGAGATGCCCCAGGAGCTGGACCAGTGACTATGTTAGCCTTAACATTGACTGGCCATCATTTTGTTTCCCTCCCTGCCATTCCCCAGCCCTTTTTGCCTAAGTGGGGATTCCTGTTTGTGGGTGGAGCAGGAGGGGGATGTGGCCTCGTCCATCCTTTACTTGCTTCCCTCCTGGTATCCTCCTGTCTGGCTGGTCCTTGCTCTGTAATTAAATGCCTCTCTGCTTGGTGAAAACCAGACGTCCAGCTGGCTCCCAGAAATATGAAGCCACAACTGCAGCTGTCCCTGGGTCTCAGAGCCAGACAAAACATGCCCCTACGCCTGGGACCGGGAGAGCCCCACAGACGATCTGGGGCACCCTCGGCACTTAACTTGTCTGGCTACATTGGGCTGCTGAAGTCAGCTTAGGGATGAGGACAGGCTTTCCAAGCATAGTGCCGGCATCCGTTGTCACTTGGTGTTGGAGTTGGTGGGTAAGGACAGCCCTCGGCATGGGCTGGCAACATGAACCAGTGCTTCTGGCAACATGGACCAGTGCCAAGCATAGGTGTGAACACCACAGCAGAACATCAGCCAGTGGGTGCTGGTGTTGAGGGCAGGTCCAGCCTGCCTTTAGGCTGAGGGCATAGGTGTGGGTCAGAGGTCCCATGGCTGTACATGGCTACTTGCCCTGTGGCCAGAGTCCCAGCTTCTGAATTACAACAGGGTGAGGGGCATGTGGTGGACACAGACAGCTCCTGAGATTAAGGCAAGGATTTGGAGAGTAATGTGCACTCAGTGAAAAGGACTCAGGCCACATCACCACCAGGTCTGGGCTGCACTGCTCGCTGTCCCTACAGCAGGGCCCCAGCATGTGACTGCCCTGACTGGAGCCCCTGCTATATCCCCAGTCCCCAGGGCAGGGCCTGGCAAGCTCACAGATCCCAGCATTGGGCTTCAGCCTCCTGGTGGTGGAGTGGGGGGCTGGGCTGTGGGCAGAGGCAGAGCCAGAGCTTGGGGAAGCTCCTCAGAGGTGCCAGCTCTCCTGGAAAGCTCTGTGTTCACTCTGAGCCTTTTCAGAAGGACATAGCTGGGCACCTGTGTAATGGGTTCCTCCTGCCTACAGCCCCAGCTGGGCATGGCCCGTGGCCATGGGGGATACTGGGCCTCCCTTGGCCTTGCCTGGCAGCCCAGCAGCCCCACAGGAAAAGTATGACAATGGCAGTAATAAAGCTGGCTGTGGCTGCAGTGGCAGTGCTGGGTAATCCCTGCCAAGGTCCTGGGGGTCAGAGCTTATCAGCAGGTGAGGAAAGTGAGGCTCAGAGGGGAGGAGGGATCAAGGCCACACAGCAGACAAACATGGGGCTCAGAACCCTGCCTTCTGCCAGGGCCACCTTGGAATTCTGGAAGTAGAGTATCCCACTGGACCGACCCAGCCTCCCATCCCCCAATCTGTCCTGCCTCTCCTGAGTGGGGAGGTCCTCTGAGCCTGGCCTCTCCTGTGTTTCTAAGGTCCTAGAGGGCAGCTGTGCCCCCTAACTTGGTTCCCCAGCCAGTGCCCAGCATGGAACTAGTCAATGGCAGATTTGTTTGAATGGCCCATTAGGAAGTGGAAATGTGTGGGCCAGAGTCCAGAGGGACAGCAGGTGTGGCCCAGGGGGGCAGAACAGGAGCCCCATGGCCAGGCCTGTGACTTGGAGCTACCATGGCTCATCTAGCCAGCATGTTTTGAGCACCGGCTGTGTGCCAGGCTCTGATCTTATTCTCAGTGGCTCGTCATCACCTCTGGGGAAGGTGCTGTGATGATCTGTTTTAACAATAAAACAACTGAGGTTCAGAGAGGTTGAGTGACCTGCCAGAGCTATCAGTGGCAGTGCTAGGGGTCTGGCAGGTAGATCCAAGACCACCAGGCTCTCTGCCTGGCATGGAGCCTTCTTCAGCACCTATGTGCACAAGGCGCATCCCCAGGCCAGGGGTCCCTGGTCCATCCAGCTCCCTCCTGTGGCAGCACTCTGCTGATGCCTCCTCAGGGTGGCTGAGCTGCTGCCAGCATCAGGCCTTTCACAGGGCGCGTGCTCAGGGTCCCAATCTGCAGCCATCAGTACCGCCCTCTGCCAAGCTCAGATCTCTCCCAGCCTCATCGGGTTTCCTCCTGAGGACGTTCACATTTCAGGGCCAGGCCACGTCTGAGGTAGAAGAGCAGGGAAAAAGCGGTGTCATCTCCCTCCAGCCCCCTGACGTCAGAGCTGCCCAAATGCCACGACTGACGGGTCCCCGCGGACTCACCGAGCAGACGCTGCCGGTCGGGTCCTGCACCCGGCAGTTCCGAGCCATTGGAATCAGGCTGCTTAGTAATGAAGCTGGCAGCTCGCTGGCACCATGGCCATGTCCCCGGCACGTCAGACGCTGGCACAGGTGGAGGCAGTGAGCAGCCGGGGAGCGGCCAGGCGAGTGAGCAGGAAAAGGCTTGTTAAACAGAAAGAGGGCTGGGGCGGTCCAGGCGGATTGTCAGCGGATCTTGTAAATACTCCAGGCAGCTTGGGCCTGGACCAGCGGGTACTTATTTCAAAGCAATTTAGCCGATGGGATTCCCGACTCCCAGATCAAGAATGTTATTAAAATGAAGAACAGAGGCAGCTTGGTGGCTTGTTGGTACCCTGGTCACACCTCAGCCCTCCTTGTCCTCCTTGAGCAGTGGCTTGGATGCTGGTTTCCCAAGGCCCCACCCCACCAGCCCAGGCTCTTGAGGGGTAGGGGTGCTTATTGAGAGCCGGGGCTTTGGTGGCCAAACCTGAGGGGGCCCTGTTCTTGGTTCTTAAAACTCTTGAGAATAGAGTTTTGTTCAGTTTTGTTTTGACCTCAAAAAAGGTATCAGGACCTTTGCCCACCCCCCTTAATTGATGAGTGGGGAAACTGCAGCCCAGAGCCAAGATGAGACCAGCAGAGGGTCCCAAAGTGAGGTGGCAGAGATGGCCTTTAAGGTGGCTTTCCTCCAACCCCACTCTAGTCCGTGAGGGTCCTTCTTGAGGGGTTGTTTCGGGAACTGGTGGGCCCTCAGCCAATCCCACCTCATCCACCACTGGGCTGCTGAACTCCTGCTCTGTTGCAGACCCACCTGGGAGCTGTTGATATAAAGGACCAGGTCAGGAGCAGGGAGAGGGGCCCCTGTGGACACTCGTTGGGGTGGGGGCCCTGGAGTGATTGCCCCCCCCCCACCCTCCTCTATCCTTTGCAGGTGTTTCAGCGCAGGGAGGATGGCTCCGTGAACTTCTTCCGGGGCTGGGAAGCGTACCGCGATGGCTTCGGCAAGCTCACGGGGGAGCACTGGCTAGGTGAGAGCCACTGACTACTGCCCCACCTGGGTGGCCTTCTCTCTGTGCTTTCCAGCCCCGCCCTGAGTGGATATGGCCTCAGTTTCCCCAGCCGTGGCATACCCAGGCCAGCTCACAGTTGCTGCACAAGGTGACTGAGGCACCTCAGGATGCAGAAGGCCAATAAGAACAGAGCCAACGGAGGTGTGGCCGGCAGGGACTGGGCCCAGTAGACATGGGCTCATAAAGGCTGAGGGTCCCACAGCCCCTGGAGCCAGGTGGTGGGGAGCTGTGGGACTGACCAGAAGCCAAAAGCCAGGAGGCCCTTTGCCTATCACCCTGAGACCTGCTCACTGTCCTGAATGGTGAGAACTGGGGGCAGGTGCAGGACACCGTCCCGGACACCAGAAGATCAAGGATGCCCCTCCACTGCCCCACCCCCATAGCAGTGCCCCGAAGTTCAGCAGTGCCCCGCGACTGTGCTGGGGACACCAAGTCTTTTTCTCCCACCAGAGCAGCTGGCTGGTGCTCCTAGCTGTGGCCCTGCCTTGATCCTGAGGGAACCCATGTGCTGCCCATAGTGCTCAGAAAGGCTCTGTTAATATTATTATTATTTACTTACTATTAACCTTTAAATTCATTCAGCATTTAAAAATTTTTGAATCTTTTCATTCTAAACAATAATATCCTCAAAATCCACAAGTCTGAGGTCACATATATGCATATAATTTATTTATTTATTTTTGAGACAGAGCCTCACTTTGTCACCCTCAGTACAGTGCTGTGGCATCAGCTCACAGCAACCTCATACTCTTGGGTTCAAACAATCTCTTGCCTCAGCCGCCCTAGCGAGTGGGACTACAGGCACCCGCCACAACACCCGGCTGTTTTTAGAGACGGGTCTCACTCTTACTCAGGCTGGTCTCGAACCTGTGAGCTCAGGCAGTCCACCCACCTTGGCCTCCCAGAGTGCTGGGATTACAGGTGTGAGCCACTGTGCCCAGCCACATGTATACATATATATTTGGGAAGTGGCTACGGCTTGAGGTGAGATTTTTGTTGGTTTTTTTGAGATGTAATTGTCCATTACAACAAAATTTACCATTTTAAAGTATAGGATTCAGTTGTTTTTAATATATTCACAGAGTTGTACAATCTTCATCACTACTTCCAGAACCTTTTCTTCACTCCCAAAAGAAACCCCATGTCCCTATTAGCAGCACCCCCATTGTATTTTAGACACATGTGAAAGTGAACATGTGGGCATGGAGTAAGGGGTGCTCCTGCCTCCATGGTGCAGGCTATGGAAGGGTAGGGGGACTCAGGCCCCAGCGTCCTGCCCTGCCCCTCGGCACCCCTTTGGAGCATAGCTTAGCCCATAGGAATGGCATGCGGTGGTGTGCCCAAACCTGCCTCGTCTGGACATCCCACCTGCCCCTGAGGCTCCTGGTACTTTAACTTCCTGGCAAGGATGTCTGTGAAGTCCCCAGAGAGAGGGACAGGAAAGGGGGGAGGAAACAAAGGTGTGGGCCAGTATGACTGAGGGCCTGAGAACCCAGGTAGTCAGGAGGGTCCCAGGTCTGGAAGGATGTGGTGGAGCCCCTGGAAGATGGGAGTTGTGGGCCCCAAGGCAGGGTCGAAGTGGTGAGGTGGTGCCCACCCTGCTGTGAGCACAGAGGCACATGGGGAGTGATCTGTCACTCATCTTCATCTCCCCTGCCCTGAGGTCCACCAGGGCCTGGCCCTCACTGCTGTGCCCTGGGACCCACATGGGTACTGACCGCAGAGAGGTCACATACACACTGGTGTGGACCTCACAACCATCACCTGCCTCCTGCCTACAGGCTATACACCCGGTTATGTGTTTCCCTGAACATGTCAGCCCCAGCATTGACCCCTAAAACCTCACACCCCTCTAGAAGAGAGCACTGCTGTTGTCCACCCCTTTTAGAGATGAGGAAACTGAAGCCCAGAAACATAAGGTCTCTTGTCACAGTATATGAGTGTGTTGAGGTGGGGGGAGCCCAGCCAGGCCTACCCTGGGCTCTGAACTGCCTGGCTGAAAGGAGGGGACTGCCTCAGTCCCTCCCCACCCAGGTGGGGTGTAAAGATAAGGAGATGGTGGCAGCAGGGGGCGGTCCCCCATGGAGGTTTGTGCAGTATCTTAATTGAAATCTATCAGAGCTGCTGAAGGTGCAGGAGGAAGCATGTAACCAGGCCTTGAATAGAGCCTCCTGCAGACACCAACCCTGACAAGAATAGCAACTCAGGGCAGCCCCTCAGCTCTGCACAGTCCCCTCCCTCTGCCTTCCCACACTCCCTAGTCACCTTCTCATGGAGTGTTTTGTCTTTTCCTATTGAGTTATGAGAGCTCTTTATATATTAAGGTTATTGATCCTTTGTCCCATATACATGATACGTATTTACTCCCAGACGTTTGTCTTTTGGGTTTTTCTTTTTTTCCCCTCTTTTTCAGTCATGTTATTGCTTATTTCCTATAAATTTAAAATTTTTTTTTAAGTTTTAAATTTTTTTTTTTTTTTTTTGAGACAGAGCCTCAAGCTGTCCCCCTGGGTAGAGTGCCGTGGCATTACAGCTCACAGCAACCTCCAACTCCTGGGCTCAAGCGAGTCTCCGGCCTCCGCCTCCCAAGTAGCTGGGACCACAGGTGCCCGCCACAATGCCCGGCTATTTTTTGGTTGCAGCCGTCATTGTTGTTTGGCGGGTCCGTGCTGGGGATTCGAACCTGCCACCTTAGGTGTACGTGGCTGGCGCCTTAGCCGGTTGAGCTATAGGTGCCGAGCCTAAGTTTTAAATTTTTATGTAGTCAATCCCACCAGTCTTTTTCTTCATGTCTTCTCAGTTTTAGGCCCAGCTTTTCCCTCCTGGATTTATTAAAACCATTTCCAGTATTGTTTCCTTGGGCTTTTCTAGTGTTATGATGTAGGTTCAGATCCTTAATCCATCTGAGGTTCACTGGGTGACCACGTGAGGTGTGGGGTTGAAGTGCTTTTCCTCTCTGTTGAGACTGCCAGACCCTCTTCCCCAGCTCTCTGTGACCTGCACACTGGGAGAGTGAGGGGGTTGGATCTTGGCTCACCATCTGGGGCCCAAGGTATCGGGGAGTAGCCATGAATGTTGGGAGTGATCCTGGAAGAAGGATGGAGGGAGGGGAGGGAGAGAGGGAGGAAGGGTAATAGGGGGACTCAGGCCCCAGCGTCCCGACCTGCCCCTCGGCACTCCTTAGGAGCATAGCTTAGCCCAAAGGAATGGCATTTAACGGTGGGAAAAGGATCTTTCAGCATCCCCCTCATCCTCAGGTCAGACCTGAACAAGAGCAAGGGGTCTAGGCCCTTTAGCCTGGGTTGCCAGTGGGGCTGGCAGCCTAACCTCATTGTTCTTGGCTGTGGGACGGGGACAGTCAGAGACCCTCCTCCACTGGTCTCTGGGAAGCACCAGCAAACACCTGGGTAGCAGGTAGACTGGGCCAGGCAGGGATTCTTAATTAAATTGGCCTCATTCAAATCTATTTGATTCATCATCTAAGTCAGCGGTTCTCAACCTGTAGGCTGTGATCCCTTTTTAACAATGAAAATACATTGCGGCATTAGGAAGGTTGAGAACCACTGATCTAAGTGAAGCACTCAGAACACTGCCTGGCCCTCATGAGTGCCGTCCAGGTGGAGGCTGTTGCCATTGTCACCTACGTCTGGCCTTTGGTGTGTTGTGAAGCTCTCGGATGCTCACGCCTGCCCTGTGTGGCCCACTGTAGACACTGACCCCAGAGAGGAGCAGCCTTCCCTGAGCTTCTAGCTGGAGAAGGAGCGGGGACCACAGGAAGGTGGGGACCTTGGCAGGAACCTGTGCTCCCAAAGCCCCTTTCATTCAGGGTCCTTGGGGAGGAATGTGGATGGCTGCAAGGAGCTGCTGGGTGAAGCCTGCTGTTAGCACTGCTCTCACTCCTCTCATGGTCACTTTGCCTGTTCCCTGGACCTGGTGGATGGGACCAATGGCTTCTGTCCGTGCTAGATAGGGGCGTCCCTACAGGCCCCATGTAACACACTGACTCATAGGGGGTTTGGAGCCGGGGAAAGGCAGGCAGGAGGGAGAGTCTGATGAAATGTCACTCGCTGCTGCTAACTTGTAAGGCTTTTAATTAAATGCCCTCTTAATCAAGAGGTAATCACACCAGCAGGGAAGCACCTTGAGTGTCTGAGTGAGGGCACTGGTGTGAGACCTTTCGGACGGACGCAGGAGAACTGAGGAGGGGAAGAAGCACGTGAGATGGGGCCGTGGTAGGGGTACAGAGCCAGGCCCTGGGGACACAGGAATGTGGGAGCTGCCTCCTGCCTCCTCTCCACCAACCCAGCACTTACTGAGCACCTACAGTGCAGGACAGACACACAGGTGGAGAAACCAGTGAGGAAGCAGCAGCTGGGACCCAAAGTGATGAAGCTTGGTGGCAGGGCACGTGAGGATTGGCAGAGGAAGTCCTCAACCCTGACAGGAGTACAGGCAGCCTTCCTGAGGTGAGACCTGAAAGGGAAAGTAGGCAAGTGAGGAGGAGCAGGGACAAGTGTCCCAGGCAGAGGCACAGCATGTGCAGAGGCTCAGAGGCCAGGTTCAGGTACTAGACCCCACCTGGCTGAGGTTGGAGCCCAGAGCATAAGGGAAGATGAGGATATTACCACCACCAGCCCCTCCTGCCTTCTGCAATCTTTCTCCCAGCTGTCAGCTCACAACCTCTCCATCTGGAAAGCATAGCCCAACTTAAAACGAGTAGAAAAAACCAGACAAGGAAACTGTCAGTCTTCAGTTTCTTGTGAAACACAAGCCCACAGGAAGAAGGAAGCAGTCTGGGGCTGATAGGATGCACTTGGTAGCTGTCTCTTTCTGTCACCAACCACAAGAACTTAGCTGTCATTTCTCCTATGTTCTCTCTGGGGGGGTTACTCCTAAGCTCCTCAACTTCTCCCACCATTTTCTGCCCCACTTCAGGCCTGAAGAGGATCCATGCCCTGACCACACAGGCTGCCTATGAGCTACATGTGGACCTGGAGGACTTTGACAACGGCACGGCCTATGCCCACTACGGGAGCTTTGGCGTGGGCTTGTTCTCTGTGGACCCAGAGGAAGATGGGTACCCGCTCACCGTGGCTGACTACTCGGGCACTGCAGGTAAGGCCCTAGACTGTAGTGGGGCATGGGGAAAGGGGGCCACAACCAAGGCCACCTGCCGCCACCTCCAAGTCCCACCTGGTCCTCACCCCTGCAGTGTGAAGCCAGCATAGCTCAGATTGTTTGCCTGTTTTGCAGATAAGGAAACTGAGCCCACAGCCAGGAATTAAGAGACCTAGGGTGTGGGTCTGCTCTAAACCAGACCCCTGAACCCCTGAACCCCTGTGGGCTGGGAATGGAGGAGAGGAAGTAGATGAGCTGGGAGGGGGCACAGACTACCTAGGGGACCACTATCCCCCTGGGGACCACCACGGTGGCAGGGTGTGTGAATGTGTGCTGCATGGACAACCCTGGTGTGGACCGGCAGGTGCATGTGCACGTGTGAGGAGCACATGTGTCCATGTGTGCACACTTCCATCAGGTGTGCTCACTCATACAACACACCAGGGTATACTTGTGCCCCTGTGTCTCCACACCATGCAGGCGACTCCCTCCTGAAACACAGTGGCATGAGGTTCACCACCAAGGACCGTGACAGTGACCACTCGGAGAACAACTGTGCTGCCTTCTACCATGGCGCCTGGTGGTACCGCAACTGCCACACATCTAACCTCAACGGGCAATACCTGCGAGGCGCGCACGCCTCCTATGCTGATGGTGTGGAGTGGTCTTCCTGGACCGGCTGGCAGTATTCACTCAAGTTCTCTGAGATGAAGATCCGGCCAGTCCGGGAGGACCACTAGACTGGTGCACTGTCCAGCTATTTGCCCCCTGGCCTTGCCCCTTCCCCATGCCTCCCATCCCATCCCTGCCGCCAGCCCACTCCTGTGCGAACATTCTCCGCCTGCCTGTGCATGGCTGACTGCTCTTCTGGGGGCATGGGCCAGGGTGGCCCAGACACTAAGCTCCTTGGGCCAGTGAGGTCACATACCACCTTCTCATTGTCCCCACCCCTCCAGTTGGCAGCTAACATTATCTCCTGCCTCTGCCGATGGGAGCTGGCAAATTTGATGACCCCAGATTCTACCTATCCAGACTGGCTCCTGTGCTAAATGTTTGCCATCTCCTAGCCAGGATGGTGCAGTCTGCCACCAGGTAGCCTTTCTGCTTTGCCAGCTCAAACCCCTGGCATTGCAGGGACACATAACATAGAGGGCAGTCAAAAACGCCCCTAGAGCTCTCCAAGCATTTCAGAGGGGAATGCTGGGTCTTCCTAGTCCTCTGGACACTAGTCCCCACCTGCATTCCCGGGTACCTGGAGGACCCACCTCTCCCCATAGGACCTCACTGTGGCTGCTTCCAAGGACTCCTGTGACAATGGGCTAGGTGGCCATTTTCCTATTATGCCCCAAGGCCAGACTGGGGCATGGCTACCTGTGGAGACCCCCACCCTAAGGCTGGGGCCAGTTCTGTGGAAGCCACCCACCCACCCACCTCAACCCCCTGCAGGCCTAGGGGGTCTCCAGCCTTCTTAGCTGCTGTGCCATGCGCTGTCTCCAGTGAAGTCTTACTCCACCTGCACCCAGCTTCCTGCCTTCCTCCCACTGGGAGCCGCCACCCCATTTCTCCTGCCTCTGGTCTGTGGGGACAGAGCCTTTGCCTCTGGGCTGGGCCAGCAGGGGCCTCTTGGTTTTCTGGAATCATGAGTGGAGGCGCTGGCGTCCAGTGGCTATCGCAGGATCCCCCAGAGGCTGCTGTCACCGTGGTGAGGCCGCCCCCTGCTGGTGACTATGGGCACCACCACCTGGACCCAGTCAGGGTGGGGTACGAGGCTGAAAACCACCTAGAGGTTGTCCTGCCATGTCCTCTCACACACATAGGTGGGAACTACAAGTGCCAGAGCCAGAACCCCAGCCCTCAGCAGCCTGCTCAGCAGCTCAGGCCCCTCGTATGTTCTTGTCAGAACCAAGGGCAGGGCTGTTATCCCAGGTCCTGCCTTGGGGGCCTCACGGGGCCTTTGGAAGGGCAGCAGCTCCAGTAGCACCACCACGGGAGTGGGGGGGGGGGTCCTTCACAGGACACAGGCAGGCAGGTTGTGGGGGAGGGGCTCAGCCCTCTTCCCCTCCCGCCAAAGTGTGTGCTTAAAAAACAATACATCTGTGTTGGCCAGGGCAGTGGTCAACCTGGTCATCAGCAAGTGTTTGCAGCACTTCTGTTGGCCAGGGCCAAAGTCTGCCCTGGGTGCTGGACAGGACTGGTCCGCTGCCCTCATGGTGCCCAGCCAGAAGCACAGACAACCAGGAAATAGGCAATTACAGTCCAGTGTGCCCAGGGCGGTGACAAGGAGCAGCCCAGGTGCAGGAGTGGTGGGTGGAATGAGCACAGGAGAGTTGAAGGACCGGCCCCTCCCCAGCCCCTCTTCCCATCCTCTGGCAGCCAAGAGAGCCAGCCCACCCGACTTATCCAACGAGCCGCCAGCCTGGCCATGCCAGCCGCTGTTTAGAAAGTGCCAAGCGCTTTCTGATGTGTCATCAAACAGACTCCTGGTGAGTGTGATGTTAATGGATTCGCAGATGCGCGTGTGTGGCAGGAG